ATAATCTGTAACAGTTTAAAGTGATTTATTTAATATATAAATAGAAGCATTTTAAAGAAATAAAATTTTATTGTAAAAACTGAACTGATGCATCTGTTCACATGCGCCAAGATCCTATCTACATTTTTATGTTTTAAAATTATTTCATTTGCTTTATTATTTAAATATAGGTATAATAGATTACTTTTAACAATAAATAAATACCCATGAGTACACATATAGTTGGCATATGAAATAAAACTTTTGCTCCCTGCCAGTTCTGCACATTCAGGCAAAACTCCTGCACGTATGATATGTTAATTTCCATTAAGGCTGTTTACACTAATAGAACTTTGCTTCCAAGAAATCCAAGAAATGTATGCTAACTTAACTGCTCCGCCTAACCAGGATGCCTATTCTACGATCACTGGATCTGTCTACAACTTGAGCGAACATTATTGACTCAAAAAAAAAAAAAAAAAAAAGGGTATGGACAGCCATCAAAAGTTATCAGAGAAAGCCGTTCTGTGGTCCTCAGTTGGTGGGCGGGTGGGTCCATTTGACTTTACTGAAAGGGGACAAGGCTTCAAGGAGCTTTAGACCAATCGCAGTTCAGACGAATGATGAAATTTATAGCACGCGCTGGCTGAAGTTCTAGGAATATTCTCCCATTATTTCACTAAGTCACACGCTGCATTTGTAGTTCGAAAAAAGGACACAAAACAGTATTATGACCAACACGCAGCAGAACATGCTACTGTGTTAAGTGAAGGAAAATCTCGTTTTTTAAGGGAAAAGCTAACGCAGGAATTTAGGGCTAAGAAATGATGTGGGATACCATGAAAGCAACGGTAAATAGATAAGAGTAAATGAATTAAGCTTACTTCAAATCTTTTTAGAAATAAACAATTTTAATCATTTAAATTTATAATATGATTAATTTGCATTTCAATCTAATAGCAAACTAAATTTTTATTTTCATGCTTCATTAAAACTGTTTCACGCAATTTATTTACAGTTAATATTAGAAAAATATTCTTTAAGTAAGAAATTAGAAAGAAATATTTCTTCTTAATATTCTTGCCTTTTTTTTATTTTCTTTTTCTATGAAAATTATTCTTTCAGAAAAGAAAATAATAAATCATTCGCTATTACAGTATGGCCGATTGCTGCTGCATTAAGCTATCACACACGCATCAAAATGTTTTATTTAAGTAATTTATTGTATAATTAACATTATAACTTAAAAAATAAGAAAATTTTTTTCAATATAAAATATATAACCAAAATTATACTAATCTCTCCTGTATGTGTATATCGTATTGCTATTTTTGTCACACAATTAATACTTTATTTTAATATTACATTGTTGTTATTTTAATTCTTTTATAGAAGAATCTTATTTTAATATTCTTCCTTCCAAATGATTTTATTCTATGAAAATAATTAAAAGATAGTAATATTATTTTCACAATGCAAGTACTAAAGTAAAAATAATCAGTATAGGTCTCCTGCAGTTGAAGTCCTTGTCAAACAAGCATTTCGACACATTAAATAGAAAACCAATAATGATCAATAGCTCTTTTACTATATAAAAATGAGAACTCTGATGTGAACAGTATTTTTTTTTTTTTAAAGTTTGCAAAGAAACAATAATTTTTTAATACTAATAGATTACAAAAGTACTATTCCATGAACAAACCCTCATGCTTACAGCATTGTTACTTTATAGCATACAATATTAATGCAGTATAATTCAATAATAATTCTTTACAATAATAACACAGTATAATTCTGCTAATAAGCCCACCAGCGGCCGAGCGGCATATTCGCTGAACACTGGTAGTTTGGTCCGAGGTTCGTATCCCACGAACGAGCTGGCCGCTTCGGCGTTTTCGTGGCTTTCTCCATATGTAATGTGTATACAAGCCTTCTATAGCAGTGAAAATATAAGTACCTACATAATAAGGATGTTTGGCTAAATGGATTAAAAAAACTCAGTAAAATAAGGATTAGAAAAAAGACTGAAAAGTTTTTTTTTTAAATTTGAAAGAGCAAATATTTTTTGTGACACTGTTCAAAGCATGTTTTGTCTTTTTGTTACATGCATAGACCCACATTGCATGTTTCTCACATGTATCTTCTATGAGGTTTCTTCCTTGTGCTACAAAATGTATACTGCTTGGATCTAAATTTCACTGGTATATATCCAGCGTTACTTAGTTTCTTTTCATCTGGCACATGAAATTTGTGTTTTTTTTTATGTTAATGGGGGGGGGTCTTTTTTGGCTTTGGTACGGATCATTCGTTTCCCATTAATACTTATTTTATTCATATTTTATCTCAGAATATTCAGAAAATATTTTTAATTTAAATAAAACTTTACGCGATTTCTATTTTTAATTACAGCAAAGTATATTTACATTAAATTTAAACCACAGGAAGTAATTTATAAAATCACAATACTAGCTTGGGGAGCAAGTGTGTTGAGGTCAGAGAAAAGTCTCTGGAAAAGAAAGACCTTTTTACTGGGCAGGTGCATGTATTGTTTAGTAATAAAATAACTCTGTGGTTTCATAACCCCTTATCTGCATCTGGGTAAAACATTCCTATTTGAGAAGGAAGCAAACACCATTGTGAAGAGCAGTGGTTTGAAGGTGCGATCACCGAGCCTCTAGAGCATTGTGAGTATTGTGACACGATGCTCTAGTGGTGCAGTGGTCACGCCCTGAAACCACAAAGCAAATGCCATACATATAGAGGTTTTTTTTTATATATGCAGCTTAATTATTGCTATTTTTTATTGTTTATGATAGAAATCATGATGTGCGATGAATAACTTTTGAAATTTAAAATTGTTTATATTAATAAAAGGAAGTTATTTTGTTTCATTGAAAACGAATTTTAAAAGGCATACGGTTTGAAGTACTAAAACCTAAAACATGTATGATTCTGCAATCATTTTGTGTTATTTAGAGGTAAAAATCAGTAATCAATTGATTTTCACTCAAAAATTTCAGAAGGAAGAGGAGGAAAAAATTTGAAAATTGGTGGTTTCAGGGCGCGACTACCGCGCATCAAAGGGTTAAGAAAATGTTTCAGGAATTGATAGAAAAAATTTTGCATAAGGTCTTTCTCTTATAATTTTTTAAACAGATTAACCTTTACTGATGTATTGAAATTTTCATATTTCTAATTACTCTGTTACTTTGCTTCAATTCAGCTTTTGTTAATTCAGCTTTGGTGCTTAGACTTAAAATTTTCAAAAGTATCTTGTATTTATTTGTACTGTACATAAAATAATAGGTAGTTTTTGTTGGAATAAAGTAAAGCTTCTGTTAAAAACATCTTTAGCATATATTTTTTAATAAAATGATGAAAATGAAAAATTTAGGAAGAATTTTATGATTACTTTTAATTTCCATATTGCAGAATTTGTACTTTATTTGGTAAGTTATCATTAAAGCAAATACATTTTATGTACTATTTAAGCAACTTAATTGTAAAAATAGAACATTTATAAAAATTTCCAAAATTGAGGTTCTTCGCATTTGGTTAGATTTGAAATATTGGAAAGGGGGAGTTGTGTTAGAACTCAGTATTTTGAGTGTTTTGAAAAATGTCTTGAACTTTTATGAAAGTTATGTCTTAAATGAATTCCCCCATGCACTCCTAGCACTAAAATTGTCTAGAGTTGAAGCCAGATCTTTCAGTGGCCAATATATATGTCAGTTACTGGAATTCATAATAAACCATGCAGTAACCACTTTTCCTTTGAAAATATTTAGGGTTCATGATTTTTCAGTCTCAACAATAGAGATCCTCTCCCCATTTTATTTTTTTAACAAGAATAAAATATTTATAAAAATTTTGGAATAAAAGCATGCTTTGGATTTTAACTGGACATAACCATAAGGTTAGAGTAATAAAGATATTATTCTTTAAGTAGTTTTGTCATGTTAGAAGTGCTGTATATAATCTTTACTTTGAAATTTGATTTGATTTAGGTAAAAACAGATGTCCCAAAAGTCTCATTTAAGAAGAAACCGTTTGAGTCTGGTTTCAGTAATTCAAATTTCTTGTGATTTAAACATGTTATATATTCTTTATGAGTTAAATTAATGACAATGTGTCATATTTTTATCTCATATACATTTCTGAGTTGATTAAAATCTGCTTCAGAAATTTTCCAGTTACTCATAAATGTGTCTTGCCAGTGATCTTAGTTATCTATAGAGGTATGTTACACTTTTAGCTATGATTGGAGGTATAATCTTAATTTAAGAAAGAAATCGAAAAGAAAAAGAGAGAGAGCGAGGGAAACCTATGTTTTGTAGCATTACATTTTACTCTTATGCTTCTGGTATTTCTTCTGAAAAATGCTAATTTTATAGGAAATACTGAGTCAACTGAAAATAAACTTCCATTTATCAGCCTCGAAACGGAAATTAATATTATATGTAGTAATATTGTATTTTTTTTCACTAAATGTTGAAATGCTTAATAATTTTCCCATGGTTAATGCACATTATAAATTTTTATATTTAAGGATAAATGTGGGAATTGCATAGCTTTGAAATTGCTAACAAATTCTGTTTTAGGATAAAATTCATGAAAAAATTCCCTACTGAAAGATGCATGTACTGGTGTTACCTATTGATCACAGTTAAATGTGTTATTCTCTCTTATAAGTGTTCTTTGTCCCCCCCTCCCAAATTAAGTACTGCTTCATTCTTTGTTTATTGAAATTAATAACATAAGAGATGAATTTACAGTATTTAGAAAAATGTTATGTCACATGAAGAGATCTAATGGTAAAAGTGTGTTTTCTTTTTCTGGGGGTCTGCGTGTATATTTTTCTGGAGAAAATTGTTTGATGCATGTTTTCCTGCAAAGGAAAAGCTCTTAAAATTTTAATCAGTGTTATTACTCACTTAAACTTCTGCTTTGAGCATGTAAAACAATTTACTTGAATTGCTTATTAAAAGTGTTCTAAATATACCAGATTGTTACTATTTTAGGTACTGTGGGTTGTGGTAAGGTGTTTTCTGTTGGCAACAGAAATAAGTGTGTTGATATTTGGTCTTGCATTTGGTAAGTCTGATACTTATTGTTTCCTGATCTAGTGTATTTAAATAGTTAGTTATACTTTTTATAATTATATATATGTGTGTGTGTCTGTTTGTGTAATGAAAAAGATGTTACAATGTTCACGGCATAGAACATAGAATTGTGTATATATAAGCTAAAAAATATGAATACAGTACAAAGTCTGTAATCCGTACATATATAATCAAGAATGATCTATAATCCGAACCTCAATGCTACAAACTTTATGCGCATGCGTAAACGTATAATGCGTTTACGCATGTGCATAATGCATTTGCGCATGTGCATAATGCATTTGCGCATGTGCGTTTAATGTATAACGGATGGTGTAAGCTAAGCTAAAATTATCTAATTATCTATTTCAGTTAAAATTGCAGATTGTGTTGTTCCTTAATCTTCTAATTGGATCTGGCTTATTATTTTTTGCAGACTGTTAGAGCAATTTTATAAAAAGTAAGCTTGAACTTTCGATTATGTCAAAAAGAGTTTCAAATTCTGGAGCTGCCAAAGGATCTACAAAGCAAAAGCATGTTTTGATGTCCATCAAACAAAAAGTGGAATAGCTGCAAAAAATGGATAAAGGCATATCTGTCTCAAAATTATGGGAGAAATCAACTGTATATGACATAAGCAAAAAGAAAAAGGAACTTTTTGAATATTTTGTGGATTCTGACACCCCTTGCAATGACTAACAGAAAAAGGATTCGTTATGATAAAAATGACGATCATGACAAAGTGATAAATGTTTAATAAAGTAAACAAATAAATGTTAAGCTTTTTTTTGTAAACTTTGATGCCCTTAATATCATCATAATTGCTCTTTATTTCATAAATTACGGTTTCATATTTTTAATTGTATAATTTCTGCATGCCATCTTACCAGATTTAAATTGATGATCTATAATCCAGAAAAAACCCTAATCTGTAATCGAAGTCCCGTCAAGTCCGGATTATGGACTTTGTACTGTATCAGCTTTATAATTTACTTAAGCAATAACCTCTTAATTCCTCATTTTTAATTTGGGTATTTCCTCTCTGTATTTTAAAAATAGTAATACTTTTTCTAGGCTACATCATTTCTAGATCAGTATATGTGACATGGCTTGTATAACACTCATGACGTAGATCATTCAGAACCTAAACTCAAAATTTCGATAGCTGAAACTTTCTCTTGATAAGCAACCTAAACCAAAACTTTCTCTTGGTGAGCCTCCATGTTGGATAATTTTGTTACCCGTAATGCACAGTCAAGGTGGATTAAATATTCATCTTTAGTTTAATTGACATTTGCAGCCACAATTTACTTGGGACTCTTAATCATGCCTACTGAAAGATGTATGTACAACATACAAAGAACATTTACTTTTTGATACTGTTGCGATAAAAAGAGGAAGTAGCATCTTAATGGCAAGAGCACTGAAGCAAAAAGTGCTCAATTATCCAATGTGGCAGCGTATTAAGGGAAGGTTTAGGTTGCTTATTAAGACATAGTTTTAGCTCTCCAAATTTTGAGTTCAGGTTCCAAATTAGCTACGTCACTAGCGTTATGTAAGCCATGTAACATAGATTGATCTATAAATGCAGTGCAGAAAAGTTAATACTATTTTTAGAATGCAGAGTAGAACTATCCAAATTAAAAATGAAGAATTAATAGCCTGTTGCTAAATTAAATTATAAAGCTGAGTTACGTATTTTTTCATACCTATTCCCCCCCTTCAAACAGAAGACTTGTCATCTGAAAAGCCTTTTTAGAAGAATGTATTAACCCTTTGCGGTTGCATGTCCACTCTCAGCCACCAAAGCCCTAAACAAAGGTTGTGACCCAGCGCTCACCATGCAAGATGCAGTGGCGAGTCTCATCTTTTGAACGTAATGAAATCGACAATGTTTGACGATACCTTGTAGAATTCCAAAGAATATTTTATAAATTGTATTTAACAGTAATTAGACATTCTCTCTTCTTAAAATATTCCAAAATAATTCCCCAAAATTCAGCTAGAAGAGAGAACAGGATACCTATGCCACGTTTTATGTTCGTCCGAAAATCGGTGGCACAACTGGTAAATGATTTTCGTGATGGAGTAGATTCAAAACCAGGAAGACCATCGACCTCCGATAAGGAAGAAAGACTTAATGGAAAACTGCATATATTGCGGTATTCTGAAAATGTAAAAAGTAAAGATTGTAGTGTATGTTCAAACAGAAAGATTAAGAGTGGAAGGCACCAAACCAATTATTTTTGCGATACATGCACTTGAAAACCTGGCCTGCATGTTGTAGAGTGTTTTGAAAAATATCACACGAAGGAGAATTATAAAACATAATTTTTATACAAAAGCATATCGCCAGATTTGTGTATTGAATACAGATATATGTAAAGTTCACAAAAAAATTACTAAATCTTGTTTATCCATCGTAAACGCGTGCTACGTATCCCTGCTCTATCGACGGAAATTAATTCCGACCAGTACGATACCCATCTCCAATTTAATCTGACTGCAAAGGATTAAAGCATTAGTGAAACAAGAAAAATACAATTTTGGGGGAAAAAATGATAAAATTTTGATCTAAATAACTTTTTTAAAATAACAAAATCTTGTAGATATCATTTTTTAAATTAAATACAAATTGAAAATTCTATTGAAATTTGAAGTTTGCAATTTCATCTTTATGTGAAAATACTGTAAAGAGTGTCATAATTTTTTCCAGATATAACTGTCTTTGAAAGTTCATAGTTCTGTAAAATCTTTGCTTGAATATTTCTCAACTTGCAGCCTATGCAGCTGTCACTTGGAAAAAATCACTTTATTGTGATGTTCAGGATTCACGATTTCGACCATGCCATTTTTAGTCAGTTAAATCGTCTGTCACATCCAGGCATCAAGGCTTCGAGCAAACTGATACAGCAATGTTTCGTATGGCCTAGCATGCAAAGGGACATAGCCAACTGGACACATTCGTGCTTGGATTACTGAAGATCTAAAATTGTCAGACACACCACCAGCCAACTTTAAAATTTTAATTTGCCCTCATTGATTCAATCACGTGCACCTCGATTTGGTTGGGCCATTGCCGCCTTCTAATGAATACTCCAATATTCTTACTTGCATCGATCGATTTACTTGCTGGCCCGAAGCCGTTCCTTTGGTAGATATTTCAGCTGATATGGTGGCAAAGGCATTTTAAACCATTTAGATTTCTCGATGTGGAGTTTCAGAGCAGATTTCTACTGACCAGGGGTGTCAGTTCGAGTTTCAATTCATCACGTCTGTTAAGTATTTGGGGCACTTACAAAGTGAGAACCTGCCCCTACCATCCAAGTTCCAATGGAATTGTTGAGAGATTTCATCTCTCCTTAAAACAATCAATTCGATGCCACACTACATTACAGTGGACTGATGTGTTACTTCTGTATTTCTAGGTCTTCGATCAGCGTTAAAAGAGGATCTGAATGCTTCGTCTGCCAAATTGGCATAAGGTACTAATCTCCCTCATCTTTTAATTTGTCTCATCTTTTAATCCATTTGCCTGGGGATTTCGTACATTCAGTCAATCCATCTACCTGCAACATATATCCTGTTACATTCGTGCATCAGCTTAGAAACTGCATGTCAAAATTGCGACCAGTTCCTGCCAGCGCTCATTGCAAACAAACTATGTTCGTGCATAAAAACTTAGAAACTCATCTCATGTTTTTCTCAGATGTGATGCTTCAAAGCCTTCTCTCACACCACAGTTTTCAAGGCCACATCAAGTGCTAGCTCGAAACGAAAAAAAATTTTAATTTTGGTCAACAAAAAGTTGTTCTGTCTTAAGCTGGCATTTATCTGGACACCAGAAGCCACTGGAGCGAATGCGTCTTCATCATCGCAAATTCCATCTCAAGATCCACATCTATCTCCAATGGACTTCAGTGCAAGCTGTTCCAACCTTCGACAGAAACCCCAACTTCTGACTTATCAAATGCTACGACAAGAACATGCTCTTGCCGCCGAGTTCTTATTAACCCAAAGTATTTGTAAGGTATTAGCACTGGAGGGTGAGTACTGTGGCGACCTGCCTACTACCACTCAACGCTGCCAGTCTGGTAACTCATAGCAATGAAAAACAAAATAATGATTATTTTATTGTTAATATATTATTAACGATCTGTTTTTGTTATCATGGTTGCTTGTCCAGCTGCGTTTTATTTTATTATTAAAAATGGCTTATTATACAAATTAAATTATTTTTATTATTATATTAAAAGCAGTGTGTAATTATCTGTCTCGAAAATATTGCTACCATAATTAGCATTTTATTTTCAAAGTGCTCTTCTAAGCTGTTAAACAGAGTCTTGAAAGTATCATCAATAGTTCACACCTGTTTATCTATGCCTGTTAAGGCAGATTGAAGATAATAAAGTTTTTGAGCTTCCAAAAGTCATAATTTGAAGAGGTAAATGCAGTAGTTTTTGTTTTGAAGAACTTCCATTCATCATAGTTACTCAAAAGTTAAGGTACAGAGATTTCTGGTAATTTAAATTAAACAGTTTTATTTTGATATGTATGTTGAACAGTTTTATTTTGATTGGGGAAGCAGTAGAGAAAGTTATATGCATTTAAAATATTTTAAACTTACCTCTGACTTGTCAACTGTTCTTCCATGTTAATCTTTTAATGCTCCAGAAGCTCTTTAACCTCTATTCATTCATAATAGCCCTCTTTAATTCCCTAATTTGAATTTTAATATTTTTTACAATAATAATTTTCATTTCAAGTTCTGCTGTATCAGGATCTGATGCACTTTCATAAATTTTCATAAATGATCATTTCATAAATTTCATAAATGATGCACTGCATAAATTTTCAAAATATAGTTTAAATATCTCATTAGCTGTAACTTCAGTCCACCACATTTACGGTTAAAAATAGTAATATCCTTTTTTATATGTGGCATTTGGGATATGCATTGTCCCAACTCTGCCACTAGAGAAATCACATCTGCTGTATTTTAAAACTGATTGCAAATTAAAGTTGCAGAGTCATTAGGTTTTTTTATATGCTGGAGATATGAAAAATGTGCAAATGCTCTCACTGGGATTTGAACTCCGGACCTTTTAAATATGCTTTGAGTGTGCTTTTAGTTACACCATGAAAGTGTGCAGGAAAAGGAGGGAGAAAAATACCTTATATACTCTTCTTTTAGAGGGTGACTCTAGATAAGGGGACCCTGTCACCAAATCCTGGTAGTGACAAATTATCATGCAACACCTTTTAGTTCAGTCAACATTTGTGAAGTCATTATTTGTTTTTTTATGCTAGTGATGTGAAAAATGTGCATTGTCCTTGCTGGGATTAGAATTCCAGATCTCCCAAATACACATCGAGTGTGCTTCCAGATACACCAAGAAGGCATGAGGAAGGGAGGGAGAAAATACCTTATAAAGTTACAAAAGACAGCTTTCAACATCCAAAGTTTCAAGCAAATATTTAGAATTGTAAAATTAAATCTATAGGTTTAAAACTGTCGCTCCATGTTCAATTCTTCTTCGAACCACAGTTGAGTGCCATGGTTACTTTCCAGTGTTTTGCATCTTTCTTGGGGTTCATGGTGTTGCAGAACTCTGCCCACTTTTATCATTCGCATTCAACTATTTTTTTTTTCAACTCTTTCAGATGACTTAAAATGTCGTTTTCTATTTTCTTCACGATTATTCATTATTAGAAGTTTGTTCATATTATCTCTTTCAGTGATCAAGGAAGTAATTTCCGCATTATTCCACTAGGTTATCTAAAGCCTTCTTCTCTTACCTCTTGGAATACTTTTCTTCACTGCAGCGGTGATATTGTAAATGAAAGTTTGCATTCTTTTATCTAAGTTTTTTTTTTTGTATTGCTACACTTTCACACAGTTTGTCCAATATGAGCGTAAATATATCCAGCCAGCCTTTCGAGAATTCCAAGATCTTTTCGTTTGCTGAGTATGTTCCAGACAAAGGGATAAAACAGCGATGATAGGTTGGTGATTGCTAATGGCACTTCTCAGAATTTTCCAACTACAAAGGCTAGTGATTTGATAACTTGTAACTGTGAGGTCTAGTGCCGACTCTGTTTCTGTTGTTCTTGATAAGTGTTTCTTTTATCATTTAAGATAGAGAGTCCCATGTCCATAAGCAGGTCTTTGACTTGCTGTCCTTTTTCATCCAAAATAGGGGAAATTCTGGTAGGACTTTTTGTGTTGAAATCTCCCAGCAGTATTACTGAATTGGTTTCATCTTTAAAGGTATCGTCCACCGGGGCAGTGTTGATAGTTGAGTAGTCAGATGTTAAATGTTGATCAAAACTATCGAGTGACTAGCGAAGAAAGCTCGTAAGGCCTGGGCTTCTGTTTTGGAATGGGGATTACTATTTGAGGAAAGGCGATTTCTTTATATTTAATGTTGTTTTTGACAATGGCCATTCCACCTCCTGTTGCAAAATATATATTCCAGAACCTTGATTATCCAACTGGGATCAAAACCATCTCAAAACCTCAGTTAATAATAACTGAATTAAATATGTTTTCTTTAGTTAAACAAAAATCAATAGATGATTTTATTTTGACAAAAATATTCATTAAAACATTGAAATAAGCAAGCTTCTCTAAGCTTTACACAAATTCTGAAATTTCATGACATTTTTGTGTGCATTTTTTACATCCCTATAACTACATCAATTGCAGCATAATTATGCTTGATCTGTTGAAAAATCAGGATGTTGCATTATATACAGCTTCTGTATGTTTAATTTCACACGGTTCATTTTCATTTCATTATCATCCTCAGTATTACTTTTTATCACTGCAATTTTCATTCCCTGGATCTATAGCCCGAATGACTTCTTCATTCAAAGAAGTGTATTCAGAGATGAATGACTGTTTGCAATATTGCATTGGGATTGTATTTACGCAAGTTCAGTGATTGATTGCATTTATTGCCAACAGATGTCTCTGTATTTAATTCATACGATTCAGACTCTTAAGATACTCAAATTTGATTCTAATGGCAATTTTTATTTCTACTTATGAATTACTAAAGTAAATTATGTTAGCAGTTTTTAGATTAATAATTTATAAAGCACATATTGAACCTCTGTGATTGTACAGAAGCTTAAGTAATTTAAACAAATTTCTGTATATTACTAGATGCATTAAATTTTTATGAAACTCTATATAATTAAAACTAAAAGTGTATACTATATAATTAAAACTAAAATGTTTCATAAGAAGAAATTTAATTTAATTAAAGAAATTTAATTTAAACAATTTAATTAATATTCTTTTGCGCCATTGCTGCAAGGAATGAAATTTAAATTAAAACAAATTTAAATTTTAACAAACACTTATAAAAGTAAAAAAACAAATTTAAAGCCAAAATAAAGAAAAAAAAGCCAAAATAATTTTTTGAAAAATTTTAAAAAAATGAGCAAACATATAAAAGATTTAATTCTCGAACTAATCTACAATATCATTTAAATTCAGAAGCATAAGCAAATCAAGTGCAAAACTAATCCATGAAAATAAATTCATTAATTTAGCAGATTAAAATTAAACCAAACAATTTTTTTTAAAAATGCATAAGTGAATGACTGTTGAGTAAGCAGGAGACAGACTTATCAAGGGAAGTTGCCTCCAAACCGAACTCTCCAATCATTCAATTCATGTTTCGTCATTCATGCAGGCAAGGGTAAAAGTCAAAATCAAAAGTAAAAAGAAATACCAATAAAGTGGTACCCTTAGAAATTAGCATTTAAGAATTAAAGTTCTAAAAGGAACATACTATAAAAAAAAATTAAATTTTAAAATTTAAATTCAGGGTCTGAAATTCGTGTGCTACTTCCAGATACATCTTGAAGGCATAAGGAAAGGAGGGAAAAAGTACCTTATAAAGTTACAAAAGTCAGCTTTCAGCATCCAAAATTTCAAGCAAATATTTAGAATTGTAAAATTAAACCCATGGGCTCAAATCTTTCACCGCATAGTATTAGAATCATTGAAACGCTGTGCATTAACAGTCCAAAATGATTTAAAAAACTGAACACTTCCTCCCTCAAGATTTATTAACAACAAATTAAGCAACAACATAAGCTACAGCAGGGAATCTCCAATGATTCAGAGTGTTATCTGCATCAGCAATATGGTTCTTGTAGCAGGATTTCAATTCCTGAAGTGATGCTTTCTTAATGGCATATGCATTGCACTAGATGGCGTCAAATTTGGTGTCTAATGTGAAGCATTCTGTATGTGAAAGCAGAGTTTGAAAATGGACTGTAATTAAGATTATATAAAGTATTATTATCTAAAGTATTATGTATAAAGCCCTATAATTGAATTTTTATGTAATGTCCAAGAAATCCATAAAATCGTCTCATTTAACTGGGAGAAAATCTGAAAAGAGTCTTTAAAAAGTTGCTTTGAATTGTGCAACATTCCCTTTTGGAAAATCTTTGTTCAAAGTTTCAGCGATTTAGACCTTTCCATTTATGTGCTGTGTTGCATGCATATAGTCTTTCTGTTATTATCATAAGTGTTGTTGAATAAAAGTAAAGTGTTATGCCTCTGATGATTTAAACACACACACACACACACACACACAAAAAAAAAAAAAAAAAAAAAAAAGTAGCCATCACTGAATATGACTGTATTTTAATGACATATGCATTAATCCTAGTAATTAAGAGATATCAAATATTACTTTATTTTTAAAAATATGATCATGAACCAGATTGCTTGTAATTTGGTATTTATTTTTATCTTCATTTTAGGGCATCTAGATAGTCAAACTAGTATTCGAAGGGTTCTTGTGGTAACATCATGTGTATCGCTAATATACTCTGGACTACAGGTATGAATGATTAGATGCATCTTTTATTACATAGATAGACATTTTTACTAGTTAATTGTTGTGATTATATCCTGCATTCATGTTTTTAGTGAAGGTTTATAAGTTGTATCAATGCAATTTGTAAATACAGACTCAAATTTTTGTAATTATTGCTGTTTTTTTTTTTGCCCTTCTTTTGTGAAATGTGGAGTGTTTATAATTAAACCTTACCTGTTATGATTTCCGTATATTGGGGCGAGATAAATTTGTTTAAATGTCAATGACAAGAATTGTATTTATTCATGTAATTCATGGAATTAAAATCTGTCATATAATATTTTAATTTTCTTTTATAACTGAAAAAAATGTTAGTTAAAAGTGATACTGTATAGTAGTGTTGAAGTCTTTTTAGTAACATTTTCTAATGATACACTGCAATATTTAAAAATACTAACTAAACTGCTCAAAACAGTTAGGGATATTGTGAATTTAGTATGAAGTAACCATATAATCAATACCTTTTTTTAACAAAAATGAAACAGAAGAGGTTAAAAAGGAAAATTATATTGTTTGCAAAGTTGGAAATATGCAAATTGTGTCTGTGACATCGAAAACTGCACATTTTAGATATGGAGTGAAAAGCAACCTACAGCATTCCTTATGTAAACAACTGGCACCGAACATTTTATAACAGTGAATGCAGTGTTTCAGCAAGATGACTTAGCCAAATCAGTAACGTGGAGGGCCATCGGTCATTTAGAGGTGGGTCAAATGCAATCTTGAAATGAGGATTGAATCATGAATGAGGTAGAAAATGAGGATTGGTATTTAGCACTAACGGGCTGAAGAAATGGCACTATGAATGCCACTTTCTTACTAGTTCTTTAAAGGGCTACTGGTACCAGAGTTTTAATTCAACCTGTTCAAAACTGATTCCACCATTTGGGTTTGTATGCTCACAGACGTATGGTATGTGTTTCAGTGACACAGGGCCACTGTGCTGCCTGCAGAAGGTGGCCACAGGATCATCTCAGATGGGAATGAGATAAGTGGATCAACATGCTCTTCACGGACGTGTCATGCTTTAACATACAACCTGACAATAGATTCTCATCTGGAGAGAACCTGGTACACTGAATACTGCTGCATATATGCATGAAAGTGTCTCATTTGGCCAAGGCAGAGGGATGGTTGGGCCGGTATTTCTATCAGTGCCTTCACCAACCTGCACATTATCAGGAATGGAGCAGTAACTGCTGAGCATTATAGGTATGAAATCATTAGACCTGTTGTAGATTTCTTTACACTGCAGCAATCAGGGATGAATTCATTCTCATTGATGATAATGCAGGCCACATTATGCTCATCTAATGGACAATTTCCTTTATGATGAAGGAATTCTCGAAATCGATTAGCCTGCATGTTCCCCAGATATGAACCTAATCAAACATATTTGAGACATTCTAGGGAAAAGGATTGCTAGTTGCTTATCACCCCCAGAAACAGTTTGGCAGGTTGAAAGCTGTCTTCTACAGGAGAGGGAGAGAATGCTCCAGCTCTTCATTGATAATCTTTCCGTGCCTCGTAGGTGTTTGACATTGCTTTCAGTCAGGGGAAACCATACCTTTTATTGAAACTGATTTGTATCCAAAAAGTAACTTTTTTTGTATACTATGCTTAAATTGTACATTTTTTATTTACTGATTTTTTTTTTTACTTTTGTCATACTATACAACACCTATACATCGTACATCAGCCACCAAAACATTTCTTCATCTGCAGTTTATATTCAAAATCATAACATCCTTTAATTGTGTTGAGCAGTGTATACTGATCTTTTAGGTTTCCTAATGAGACTTAATTAATATTGTTGTTGTTTTGGAAATAATTCCAAGTCACGGTGAATTAATTGGACAGTGCTAGTAGACTGGAATATTATTAATATGGTAGAAGAATGCTATCCCACAGGAAAATTACTTCAACAAGTAAAATGGAAAATGTGTTGGATCACTTGCTGTTCATAAAACACATAACTAGATCTTTTTATTCTTTCAAGAGCAAAAAATAAAGCTTAAATGTTACCAAACAATAATTTTTTCATACTCGCATAGATTTCCTTTCGCTCATTTTGTAGTTTGTAGCTCATGTTTGTAGCATATCAGCAGTCTTGTAATCCAAATGGTATTGTCTGTTAACAAAACATTTAAATCTATTCTGTTTTTATTTTAATTCAGATAAGAAATTTTATTCTTTTATTTTTGCATTAAAGTATAAAATGAATGTCTCTGAAATATTTTGTTAACCTTTTCGCGACGGTCCACCTTTGTTTAAGACGCTCGTGCGGGACGGAAGGGAATCAAAGGCAGTCACCGTACAGGATGGACGTTTTGCATCGCTAAGCCTAATTTTATAAAAAAAAAAATCGGGGTAAAAAAAGTTTCGCTTCTAGCATCGTAATTTTTGGTATCATTTTAGCTTATTACTTGAGCTCTTATATATGTTAAAATTAGCACTTAATAATGTTTTTTTCTTTATTTTACATGAAAGTATACTTAAAAAATTGCTTATCTTGTAAAATAATTTTGGGAAGCGCTATTCAAATTATTCCAAAGTTTTAATTGATAAAATCCATCAATAAAGTTTTAAATTAATAAAACAACACAATAAAGACTATTTACAGTAAGAAGTAACAAAATTTAAAATGAAGACTGAGTGTGGTAATCTTGAAAGCAGGAGAGTATCACTTTAACTCTTAGAAAAAGTGTCACTTTCTAACTCTTTAGAAAATGAATCATCACCCTCATGTGCATTAATAAATGGTTCATTGACCATACGAGGGTATTCTTCCTCTAAAAAATGGCACCTTCCCCCCATAATAGACTGGAGATGAGGCTTTCAGAAATAAAAAGAGAAGAAACGGAAATATATCTGAAGGCAATGCAAAACATAAACAGTACTCCACATACTAACCCTAAAAGACCGTGCATAGTAAAGGAAAAAATAGAATAAAAAAGGGAATTGGATATAAATCAGACATGCAAATGTTTGTGCAGACATGCAAATGCACGCAGCGATTTAAAGAGCTGACCTCTGTTTACGCTTTCCCTCCCCCCCCACTCTCACAAGAGCTGATGAGTAAAATACCAAAGTCAAGCAGAATATATCTAACTCAAGATCAGGAACCTAAAACTGTGTTCGTGTCAAAAGTAATGGACATAGGATGCCATCTAGTGGCCTTCAGAAAAACGTTCCAGCTTAAAATACGTACACGCATCACCCGTCCTCTGAATGCGACCTCTAGTGATGTGTGGATGGGACACCCGGCTGTAAGAGACGTTCTTAGGGAATGCGTATATGGGACGCCCGTCCTGAAAGGGTTAACAGGCAAAGGAAAGGCCTTTCAGTGACTTGTAAAGGAAGATTGTTGAACGTGAGAATATGGTTAAGGAAAATGCAAAATTTATTTCTCTGCCTCAAATGAAATAAAATAAGAGAATTAGAATGAATGATTTAGAATAAAATAACATGCTATCTTATTGGAAATCAGACATAAAAATTTTCCCTGTTGCATCTTATTTTCTTTGTATTCACAGTTACATCCTATATCTACTGCAAATTGTTTGGTTTTTCACGTCATTAATATTGAGTATGTTAATTACTTCATGTTACATTCAATAATTTTTTAGCAATCATTTAAGTCAGAGTTATTCTATCTTGGCATAAGTCCAAATATTGATGCTGTTTGATACTGTTGATGAATTGATGTTAGTTTTTTGATGCAGTTTCAACATTAATGTATAATCATTTAATGTCAGTATCATTATATGCTTAATTTAAATTTCATAAAATATTAGTTTTCTTTAAATGGAAATTTTCTCTAAATGGGGAGGGTATGCAGTTTCTAAATTAACACAGTGCATTCCTTTAGCGAAAAAATAATATGCACGTTACCTTCTCTCTATTCCTTTTCTTTGGAAATGAAAGATTTCTCATTATTTTTATCCTTTGTGAAAATTTTAATGTGCCTTGTGACTTTTGCCAGATCATTTTCTATGTTTATGCATGCATTTTACATACATAGTTTTATATCCCTTTTGTAGGCCTGTAAAAGACTTCTGTTTATTCTGATATATGATTTTTAATATATTAGTGTAAGTTACGTTTTATGAACTCCTTGCTATTTGTGTATTTCAAATGAATGCAGGCTATTATTAAATAACATAAAGTAAAGTATGCATCTTGTAATTTGAAGTTTTCTGAATTTATACTCTCAAAAATGTATCCTAGTTTTGTGTTTGCCACTGCTTTCTAAAAATTCTGCTTAGTGATTCAAAATTAGTGATTAGTGCTTAGTGATTTATAATAATATGCAAGCAGGCTATATTGTCCTATTCCTTTTTATTATTTTGTAATCAGTAGTGCTTATCTTGCTGCCCTTTTGTGCCTTTTTGTAATTATTCAAATAATGACTATGATATGAGCTATTTTAGAACACGTGAGTTAAATTATTGGTATATCAAAAAACTTATTGCTTCTGTTCATAGAGCTACTTATAAGTAGTTTTTCATTTTACTCTGTAACTTTTGTGTATGTCTGCATTTATAAGTGTAAAGACACTAAATGCTTTATTTGTTTGTGTAATAGCTAAAGCATCTAGAACAGGGGTTCTCAACTAGTGGTACGCGTACCGCTGGTGGTATGCAAGAGAAAAATGTGGTACGCAAAGAAGCAAAGTAATTTTAACTATTAAATTCAAAAATTAAAATCCCAACATCCTGATTGACTTTTTTCTTGAACACTAGTAAATTTATGTGATTTAAGCATTGTTCAAGAGTGGTGGTGGTAATAGTATTTTGTAGTGGTGATACTAAAGGTTTTCAATTTTTGTTTAGATAGTATGCATTAGTGAAAAGGTTGAGAACCACTGACCTTAGGGTGAGAGAAAATTATCAAGAAAATATGTTTATTATTTTATGAGAGATGAAGCTATTGTACTTGCTGCTACTTTGTGACTAATTGCACATTGGCTAGTCATATTAATCCACTGCTAATGTTATGAACAATTATTTGAAGTGTTGAATCTTAAGCAACTTTTCAGTCTACTACTGCATTGTGATTAAAGGGAGAGTTTTGTATTTGTATTAGTATACCTTTCATTGAGTTTTGTGTTCCTTCTTTCATTGAGTTCTTTAGTGAAAAACTGCAGTGAATGCCATATTTAAAGAAATGTTATGTTATTATTTGTATTATTTAACACTATGCTTTTTAGCATTTTAAATAAAGTTTTTCATTTAGTGTAATCAACATAAAATACATGGCATATTAAAGATTAATTGCTGATTTCTTTTCCATTTTTTCTTATTATTAAGTTTATTTTTAAAATTATTTATGCCTTCATCTTTTACATCCTACAAATTAAAAATTAAAACTGAAATTAAAAAAAATTATCAAAATAAGTGTGATAATATTTGTAATGTAAGTATTAAAGGCATGAAAGATATAATAGGAAAGAAACCAGAATCAACATATTGGGAAAAAAAAAAAAAAAAAAAAAAACCCTGTATTAAAATTGAAGTATGTGAATGTTATCTCCTAAGGCATAATGTAATGTGTTAAAATATAAAATTTAAGAGCATTTTATGCTGTTTGTCCTGAATCAATTTTAGAAATTTATTGGCTTAAAAAAATTAAGTTTTTTTAGAAGACTGTCATTGTGATAGAGCCACTGTTAATGCTTCTTTCAAAATATTGCTTCATTAAAGATATATTAAAGTGAAAAGTTTTGTAATGTCAGTTACATTTTAGCTTTTGATTTGAAGACATGAGAAATTCACATGTTAGTAATACAGGCTAATGCTATATATTATCTGACTTCCTTTGTGTAATTGCTTTTGCATGTTTGAAGGAAAAAGACATATTAATTTCAAATTATAACTAATTTACTAGAATAATTTAGTGATGATTAAATATGACATTAATTCAGATGTAATATGCATTTAACAGTTGTATTGGTTCTCACCTTGGAATATTTCTGCTGTTGGATTTAAAAATTTGAGGACATATGCTAATGACAGGGATTAAAGTTGAATGTAATTTATTTCTGTCATTTTAAGGTATGTTTGAAGAGGAAGGGATTTTTAATTGTTAATATTTGTATGAATTTTTGTTAAAGTATGTTATGTTTAAAAAATAATGATGTATAAGATTTAGTTTATAGTTTTGATAACATAATGTTTTTGTTGTCATTAATATTAACTCGCTTGCTCGCACTTTTCAACGCTGTTCCAACAGTGTAGTTATTTTAGTAATTAAAATTAAGTATATTATTTTAGCTTTGCTATTTGGTTTTTTGATTTAGCTTTGGAAGAACTTTTTTAATTTTCACAAAAGTTTCTTTAATGATTAAAATTTACAGGAAGTCTGCATTAAGTGTTTTAGTCACCAGATTTGAATATTTTTGTTTTTCATTGGTTAATCATGAATAACTACACCCTTTCATTGATCAATCATGAATTACAACTTCATGTTATGTCTATTCAAAATATTTTTATCAACTGTAGTTTAATCATCATTTTATCTCATATGGGATTGCTGTGCCCTTTGAAAGAAATCTGAAAATCACTTTGAAAACATTTGTATTGATGCTGTAAGTGATTATCTCTTGTATATTCTATTTGCCCTTCCTCTTGTGCTAAAATTTTGGATGTGCCCCCATAGAAATGAAGGTGAAGTGTCAAGTGAAAACTAAGCAGTTGAAACTTCTGTTCCAGTCCGTTACCTTAAGAACTTTTTTCAAATGGACAGAGATGCAATGGGCTCATAATTTGGCATGCTGCAGTCACATGCACAAAATTACAGCAACAAAACATATTCTATCAGTCACAGCAAAATGCTGTCAAGTAATTGTTAGGGTTTGTCTTTATCCAGTTGTGTGAATTCTGACTGTCTGAGCAGCAAGGGCCTTCATGAAGATCTATACTTAAAACAGGATTTATGAGCTGATTTTGCTTACTTACTTTATTTTTTGTTTTTCTAATTGTGCATTCATTGGTTGGTATTATTATAAATATAACATTTTTACAATAACGTTACTAGTACATAGTAATTCATACAAAGTGCCAACAAAGCTCATGACTGAATAAAAATGGGGCATGTCATTTAGAGGTTTGAATTATTGCTCATTGTGCCCACCCACATATTATTTAAGGAACATTAGTACCTAGTTGCATGTGTATCATGAATGGACATTTAACAGAGCAGATGCTGTTAAATAAACAGCTGGCTTGTGCTTCCATCATACATGATGGAAACTGCATGCAACCAGTATATTCAACCACTGATAATAGACAGTCAACTGCTATAATTGTAGAGCTTTAATCAATGTATGAATTTTAATGTTTTGATGTCTTGCCATTATTTTTAATAAAAACATTTAATTCCTAAGTATGTTTTATTCTTTTTATTAATAACAGTTTTTTCACCAGGGTGCTCTTGAAATAAAAGTACCTGATAAGAATTTTTTTGTGCTGCATAAAAAGAAAGGTCTTTTTGGTCATGGTGGAATGTTATTTTGGTTTATCAGCTCGATTCTTTTCAGTTTGGTAAGCCTTGCATCATATAATATACAAATTATAATACTCTTCTTGAATATATTTGCATATGTTATCTAGATTGTAAACTGTGAACAATCAACAGCCCTTGTTACATGACTTTAATTCTACATTGTATGTTAAAATATCTTAGATATTACTTAATTGTGATGTTTCCCGTGAAGAATAAGCAATTTTTTATGCAAACTAATTGTCCACATTCAGAAAATTGAATTTTTTTTTTTGGTAACTAGCTAATAACAGGAGACTAAAAAGCTGCAGATTTGGGAGGAAAAGCTATATGTTGAAACAATTTTTTTTTTTTTAAAAAAAGTAATTTTTTTATGATTAAAGGCCTTGATTTTGCATTGAGGAATAAACTGCATTCAGATTCAGACTTTTGTGAAAAATTAAAATGATTTAATTTTATATTTTTATTGCATTGTTTATGATTTAATTTTACCAAATGTAATCTCTCATTAGATAAATGGTTTCATTTTGATGTCCACTCTTAGTAGTCTATGTTAATGTTTTACTGTTGGCACAAGTACACTTTTTATGAACTAATATATACATATTATACTAATTACTTTAAGAATATATAGAACATAAGTGTTTAATGAAAAAAATGTGTAGAAAATCAAACAATTGTAAAATTTTTAATTACTTTTTTTTTTTCCTTTTGTGCGATTAATATCTGTTATTTCATCATATATGTGTCATGTCTCTCTGTAGAAGGTCCCACAATTTACTGCTTAGGATCTTTAAGACGTTTGCAGTAACTGTTTAAGATTAATATCCTGTTTTTCTTAGTGCAGTTATAATGTCAGATTTGTAGGACAAATTGTTAAGTTACTGATAAGTTGCCTTTTCAGAATGCTTTTGCATCTCAGTGTTTTCATAAGTTTCCAAGGTATAAACTATTTGACATTCATCACGTCAAGCAATCTTATGCAAAAAATAACATGGACATTAAGAAACGATCTGCAGGTCTCCACAGTATCCGTATTAACCATATTTACTAAAAAGCTCCTCTTAGTTAAGATTTAATTTTCTGATTTAATCACATAAGCAGTGTGATGATTATCTAGAAAATCTTAGTCAGGGGAGGTAAAAGTTTGTAAGGATTATGTTAATTTTTATTAACAGTTAAATTTTAAGTTAAAGTTCCTTTCCTGTCATATTCATAACTTCAACTTACTACTTCCGGCCAGAACGTAGATTTGGAATCTTGCTGAATATTTAATGAGGAGGAGCGGTATTTAAACCACGAAGGTACTTACCGAGCCAAACAGAATCAGAGTTTCTGATTTACGTGCGCGTGCCTTTCTGGCCCCACTCTCTCTCTCAAAGCTGTTATTACGCTCGGCCGTACTCAGGCCCTTGCTAATCTTCATAGTCAAATAAGTTAAGAGGCCAACTCGATTTGAACCTTGATAACTTCGGCTATACTTCTTTAGTTAATCTTAGTTTTAGTTTAATTCTTAGTCTTTTAAGTTCAAGCCCAAGTGTGAGCTTTGTTTGTACACTCCTAGGCAGAGTTTTGTTATACCTTATTGGAATAATAAAGGGTTAGTTACCCTTCTATCTTGTTTCTTGTCACCGAACTCAAGCAATTATTTGCTTATCAGTTCTTAGATTCTTCACTTCGAACATTAACTTAGAATTCCAAAGTGAGGAACTCGACAAGTTGATACTGCCTGATGAAATAGATTTGAACTTAGCACATTTAGCAGACTATAAAATTTTCAAGACCAAAGCAATAGATTTTAAAAACCTTCATAATATACCGAAGTGCCTCTGAATTAGAGATTGCAAGTCAATAACAAGTTGGGCCTCCTCTAGCCTTGATAATGGCTATACACGAGAAGGCATGGATTCAACAAGTTTGCAGCAGCATTCTACAGAAATGGCTAGTGAAATATAGGATAGAATTATCCATAATTCAGGAAGGATCACTAGTATTGTGTGATGTGGTTTCACACCTTTTTCCAAAGCATCTAAAAGGTGCTCAGTAGGATTTAAATGAGCGCACCCAGGTAGGCGATTCATGGCAGGGATGTCAGAGAAATGGTCATCCAACCAGGCAGTAGCCTAGGAGACTGGGACCTAGGAGACATGGAGTTGTCGTGCTGGAATACTCTATTTCCATGTGAATAACAGAGCAACAACGACTTGAGGCCTTTGTCCCTCAAGTCATAGTACTCAAAATGACTGATAAAAATTATGACATATAAAGAAGAGACGTGAACATCCAGAATATTATAGCAACTATTAAGAGCCTTTCCAGATGTCGAGGGAACTAATGCGTACCATGAGGTGGCCATCATATAACTACTGGCAATTGAACACATGCAGTTTATCTCAGTGTATGGCTCGATGTATTCAAAGTTGTGTTTATGTCCTCACATTAACTTCCAACTTCAAAAAAGAACTAATGTGCCAGACAAATTGGTGCTATTTTACAGAAGTTCAGCTTTTCATGCATCTAGCAGTCATCCCTCACTGAGTATGTGATGATCATCAGTTAAAAGTGACCTCAAAAAATGAAAACTCAGTCAAGACAAGACAGAATTCTGAAATATACTTTTAACTCCTCACAAGCCTCAAAACCCTCAATTCTAGATATTTTGGCTGCTATCGAAAGAGCTTTTAGACACATAAAAAGAAATTATTAGGCACCTTATCACTCACAATGTGAAATTCAACAGTAAGCCTCTGAAACCAAATCTAAACAGCAAAGAATGCTACAATGCATGAAATTCATTCTAACCTGGACATTATCATTTCAAAGGCTGACAAAGATGGCCAGATACTCATCATTGACAAGAACACTTACATCGATGGTGTCACTAAACTCTTAAACAAAGGACCATATAATCTAATCCCTAAAAATCCTTCACCTTTGGACCTCTCAAAAATAAAAACTGCGATCAAATCTTATCAAAATCCTTTCTATCAACTTGAAACGGTCGCTTATCCCGTCTGTTGGAAATTATGCCAGATTATATGCTCTTCCTAAAATTCATAAATGTGGTATTCCTTTCCGCCGCCCTATTGTATAAAATTTAGGCACTGCCATACCTGTTAGCTAAATATTTAGTTTCTAGATTTTCAACTGTATTAGATAATATTTATACCATAAAAAATTCAATAGAGTTTGTGAAAAACAGTTAAAAGCATTTCTCCTAGAAATTTACTGATGGTTTCTTTTTATGTAAAATCATTATTCACCAGTGTTCCATGATTTCTTGAAACCAGACTTCAGGAATTTCATTTCTCTTGCATGGAAATTGATGAGCTAATTTCCCTCACTCAACTCTGAAACAAGCTCATTTTGTTTTTTCCAAAATATATATTACAAGCAAACTTAGGGATTAGCCATGGGAATCTTCCTCATTCCCATCCTCGCTGATATCTACATGCATTATTATGAATCAAAATTATTTGAAACTTTAAACTTCCCGGTATGGTTCCGCTACATAGACGATACTTTTACCTTGTTGGACAGTAATAAAGATGATTTGAATAAAGTTTTTAAACAATAAATTCCATTGATCCTGCTATTCTGTTCACTTTTAAACTTGAGACACGCAATTCTCTTCCGTTCCTCGACATTTTGGTAACATGTAACATTTGCATCTAACTTCATTACTATGGTTTACCGTGAACCTTCGTCAGTTTGCTTTCCACCACACTTCAAATCATGTTATCAGACTAAACAAAAGTTAGCTTCATTTTATTCTCGTGTTTTCCATGCACTTCAAGTTTTCTTCACCAAACTGCCACTTGATCTAGAACTAAATTATTTAAAACCAGTGGCTATTGACAGCATTTTTCATCCAACATTATGAATGAAACAGTTAAAAAATTCTCAACACACCAAAAGGCACACTCTTGTTTTAGGAGATTATAAGAATTATGTTGTCATTGTTAAATGAAAGGAAAGTAGACACGGACGTTCGTTATTGCGTTTATTGGCCGTGAGAACAAGTTGGTACAACAAATATAGTTTGGTGCACGCAGGCGCCCTCTTGCAGAGAACAAAATTTAAATTTGAATAAGGCACGAACATGCCGCCCATCTTGAAATACTATTTCAACATTCAGTGATTAAAGTTCAGCAAATTAAAAAATCACAATACAATATTAAAATCATGATATAATACATAATTTATAATACATATGAATTAAAACTCAAATTGGTAATGGACACAATTTTGTAATATTGCTTTTAACCAGGCCATATGAAGTCTTAATAGTCACAACAATAACAATATTGTCAAGACCAGGATATAACTGAGTAATTTACCCATTTTCTGTTTAGTTGGAGGTAAGTTATCCTCCTTTATGTGACACAGATCATTAACTTGAAGATTTTTAGTTGGCAAAAGCCATTTTGGTCTTTGTTGTAATCGACACAGATATTCTTTGTGCAAACGCTTCCAAAATTGTTGAACCAATTTTTTGAATATGTTTCATCTAGTGAGATGGGAAACATAACTTCAATGTAATTTGGTTCAGGAATACTTGTTATTGATCTACCAATAAGAAAATGACCAGGCTTCAATGCTGATAAGTCATTTGGATCATTAGATAAATTTGGTCGCGAGTTAAAACAAGCTTCTATTTGTGTGACAAATGTTTCAAATTCTTCATATGTCAATCTCGCCTCGCCAGTTACTCGTTTTAAATGATATTTTGTTGATTTTATGCCAGCTTCCCAGAGTCGACCCATATGTGGCACACCTGGAACGTTTAGATGGCATTTAATGCCTTTATCAACCAAATATCTCCTGATGTTTTAGTTATAAGTTGTAGATCTAGCAAGCCTTTTAAATTCCATGAGTTTGATTTTGCTCCAACAAAATTAGAACTGCAATTGCTATATACGAGGCATATTTGGAAACTAAGTACCGTTTTGAAAAAAAAAAAAAATAGTAAAACAATTTTTTTAAATCCAATTTTATTTTTACATGAAAATACATGTCTAAACTATTTTTCAACATAGTT